GAATAGAAATGACATTATTCAAGTCATGTGTGCTATTTGTTGGTAATGAATGGATGCAGTGCGCTTTAAAATTCTTAATATTAATACAAATGGATGCGACGCGCAGTTTTGTTCCATTTGTTGTGTGTAACTGAATCGATTTGAAAATATGTGTTTAGTAGAATACGAATTAAGTCTTAAATCTTTGTTTTAATACAATTAATGTTGTAAGAATTGCAATGAATAGAGATTAAAAATCACTTTTTAATTATTATAATGAAATCTCGCGATGCATTCCATATTTCAAATCGAGAAATCAAATTTCCTTATGCATTATTACGAATTGAGCTGCTTTTGGCAATAGAATAAAAAGAAACAGAACACAAAAGGAAATCACATGATATGTAATGTCCTTTAAGGTTTCTTAAGTGTTGAAACTGTGATTTTAATACGTATATGCACTTTTCTAAAATATGAATTAAAGCCTGTTTGAGATTTGCTAAAACAAAATGAATACAAAAATAATGCGTATTTGTTAGAATTGTTATTAGAAAAGAAGCAAAACTTACTAATAATGTATCTAAACAATGTTGAAATGTTTTTTGAAGAGTATAACTCTTTCTATACATCTGATTTGTAATAAAACAATTAAATCTGAATTCTAAGATTTTTTTGTCTTACGTGCATCTATCTCAACATATGTTGAAATATTTACTTCGTAAGTGCTATTTCTAAAATCTCGTTTTTATATACACACACATTTTGATAAAAAAGAGGTAAATCATTCTTTCGCAAATCATTTACAGGATATTAAAAAGCAACACCAACGTGAAAAAATTTTAGCAAATTTTTTAAGGTTTTATCAAAAAAAGGCTTGGGAATTTAGAATAAATTGATATTATTGAAGCCAGATATGATATTTGTTCTTGATGAATGGATACAGACCAATTTAAAAGTATCCATAATAGTACAGATGTATACAATGCAAAATAAAATTCGCTGAATAATATGAATTAAGCTGAAATACTTAGAAAATAGAGGTAAATTAAAGAATTCTATTAAGTATGAAAAATCCATTTTTTTTGTAAATTTAAAGTTTTAAATATTTGTAGATGAACGTTAGAAATCATATTTTTAATAGTAAGAGCTTCATTATATCGGAAAAAAAGCTTTTTCAATGCTTAAAATACAAAAATCTTTATGTTTAATGTAAAAAAAAAAGTTTTAAGATTTATTGTTACAAATTTAATTTTCTCTGACGTTGCAAATTAGAAATGGATTATAAAAGAAAACAATAGATGTTGTGAATAAGATGTATATCAGGAATACTTATGCACCCAGCGTTATTAACACATTGATACGTTTTGAAACATTTGTTGAATACCTATTTATATTCTACAACACCACTATCGTTTTAATATAAATTCAGATTTATTTACCTATTAAATTATGAAAAAAAAACCTTTTTTTTAAAATAACAAGATATTTATATTTAGAAGATTATGAAAATAAAAAAAAGAAATCTTTAGAAGTTTAGGAATTTCAATGCTTATAAGGCAAATTATTTTCAAATGACAATATTTTTTTTCCTTTCACTTTTATTATCAGAAGTGCTTTCATTTAGAACTTATCACACTCACAATATTTTGTCCGATATGCCAACGTTTTAATAAATGCTGAAGAAATATTCCATTTAAAATTAAAGTACCAAGTTACACTAGGATACATATATTTTGCAAATCCAATCAATATAATAATAAATAAGTGTAAAATACATTACAGCACTCGAAAGGCATTTGTAGAATTCCATTGCATAACGCAGTATGGAAAATTCTAAGCCATTTATAAGACATTTTGATGGAAGAAACATGTAATTATCCTTGAACAAATTATGGGCCACAGTAACTTCATATATTAATGTAAGTAATGTTATTCAAATCGTATGTATTATTTGTTAGTAATGAATAGATGCAAGTCTTAAGATTTTTAATATGAATAAAGATGGTCAAGACAAATGATATTATGTTACATTTGTTAGAGTAGGCTTATATTTGTATCAAGTTTAATTGTTTAATATGATACGGATGCGTATTTAACAAATGTTTCAGCACATTACGTTACAGTAATTGTAGACGAATTGAATTTGAATATATTTGTTTTAACTTACATGTTAACTTATATTTGAAATATGGATAGTTAATTATATCAGCATACTTTACTTCAAATTATATCGCAGCTATTTTACAACAAACTTACATTTAAATTGCCTAATATTTGGTTGCAATTATTTGTATGATAAATTAATTTTTAATATTGTAATAGTTATGACATACGAATTAGATAATTAATAGTTCAAAACCGTTTCGTCACAAAAAAAATGAAAAACTAATGTTAAATATTTACAGTTGTTGTCTTTCAGACAGTATTTATGTAAGTATACAATTCAGTCATATTAAATATCTATTTATGTAAACTTCTACTTTGAATAATGTAATAATTAAAGAAAAATTATTTTAATTTTTAAAAAAGGTTATATTTAGTCGCAACTTGAGTACAACTTTTGTAATAAAAAGTAATATTTCTACATCACAGAACTTAGCACTAATTCTAAAGAACATATTTCATTATAAACATGTAATGCATTTCTGACTTAATTCTAAAATAAATGTTACGTCAAAATTCCTTCCTTAGCATAAAATATATTTTTCTTAAAATTACTTACTTAATACTTTTTCAGCATAAAAAATACTACTGCATTATATTTTTGCATACATATCTGATTAATTTTAAACCTATCTGTATGAAGGTTCTAATTTGCATCTCCCTGCATCATAATTTGCATCATAAATATAGCTATTCACAATAATGTAATACCACAAAAGAGTTTTAATCGAATATTTTTTTTTATATAAATAAACATAGATTTTTTTATAAGAATAATCTGAAATTAAAATTGTGAACATGATTTTTTATGAGTATCAAGGAAAATTGTCTGAGAGAAAGAGGGAAATTCTCTAAGATTTACCAGTATATGCAAGCATTTTCCCTCTCTCTCTTTTGATAATCATACCTTTTCAATTTTAGTATTTTACAAATACTAAAATTAACAATATATGACTATCAAAAGAGATGTTTATGTATAATACGTCTGTGAAATATGTTAAGTAAAATAAATCATTATATTTGTATAGATTCCAATATTCTACTATTGGCGCATATCTGGTGTATTGGTCAGTGACGGTGATCGCGGTGCCGTAGGGAATCCCGAATCCTGAGTAAGGCAGGGATGGTTGAGCTACAATCTTTCTGTTCTTTGTTATGTCTGATTCACACTTACTTCTATGTAAGCCCCCTATGATACTTTGTGGTGTACGGGGTTATAAATGTTCTCAATAAAAATTTTTTAAAAAAATTCTACTATTAAATCAGCAAACGATTAAAAAAATGGTATCTCATAGATCAGAGTAGTTTTGCCGTAAAATAATATTTAATATCTGTGGAATACACTGTCAAGTGTTACCTTAATGTTCTGGTGAAAAAAAAGAACATCATAATTTTATGTGCAATAAAACAATAAAAAAACTAAATATAAACACAGTCAAATGAATTTCCATGGAAATACTGTTTGTCTTGAGTAAAAATATTTTATAAATACTACTTTTTCACCAATTAATAATTAATTCGGGGAATTAATAATCGTTTGGGGAGTCTATTGTTTTACCAACATAAACAAAATGATTGAAAAAATCATTATAATTTTTTTTTGCGAACAAAACTGCTTCAATCCGATTTAAAACACATAAACAATGCATAATACTCCCTCAATATTCCTCTCCGGATCTCACAGAACATTCTTGTTCAATGTTTACTTAAACAAAAGGAAAGCAAGAAACAAAGCACAACAGATATATTGAGAAACATTTGAATGTTCGTATTTTCATCCTGATAGGTAGCTCAACTCCACAGAGGGTCGCCAGAATGCTGTAGCTCCATTGTCTGTTGAGACATTGATTCAAATTCATTTCCCTGCTTCGCTGAACAATAAGTACGAAAATAGATGCCTCCTTTCCCCCCCTATTCTTCTATTGATAAGGTCCCTGAAGACAAGTTGCTTGACTACGAAACTTCTGTAAGTAAATGCAGGAACACTTGCGTATCAGATTAGGGATCAGCCAGAAATGAAGCTATTTAAACAGAATCCTTCGACGTTGGGAAGTAAATTCAGGTTATGTCTTGTTCCTGGTATCTTGATACGAAAGATAAGTCAGTATTATGGTTTATAATTTAAACGCGATATAGTATAAATTATTGAGTTTAATTTGGTTAAATCATGGAATATTCGCAGTAAATAAGAATTCTGAGAAAGAATTCATTTCCCCATACATTTTTATGTAATTTACTCGCAGAGCTAAATATTATTAACGACCGGCAAAATAAATTGTTCACAGAGTTAGGAATGCTAATAAATGCGTTTTATACTTTTAGATTAATATATATGTACATAGGAAAGTATACTTTTTTTCTCAATGTGAGTGCGGGAAATATTTTTCTAAAGTTTAAAACAGTTTCATAACTCTACTGAGGCCATGAGAACTCTTAAATCATATATTAAAGAACAATATGTATCTACATAATTGCATTTTTAAGTATTATATCTCTAAAAGAAACTTATTTGAAAATTACTTTGATCTACTGGAATGTTTAAAAATGACTTTTTATTGACTTTGTAAGGGCATTATTATTCAACTTATTTTATTAGTTTACTCTATCCTTGTATATATATATATATATATATATATATATATATATATATATAGTTCAAATTCTCAATCGTTTATAAAATACATTCTATTCATCCATTCAAGTTCAAGTATATTTTTTTAGGCTTGTAGTGGAGGGCATTTGATGTTAATACTGTTTTATCAAGTATTAATTCAAAAAATTATGTAACAAATGAATAAACTGTAGAAAAGAAAATTAATTGTCCAACAGCATATATAAAAAAGAAAATCGTTTGTTGTGTCCCTGTAGCACAATGGATATTGTGTGTGCGTTGGACTTCTAATCCAAAGTTCATCAGTTCGAAACACATCTGGGATGGCCTATTTTCTGAGAATGGGATTTCTTTTTACTATTCTATTTTATTAGAACAATTCAATTTAATGAATGAATAAATTGTAACTAACAAAAAATTGTCTAACACCATATATAGAAAGGAAAATTGCAAGGAAAATCGCTTTTTATTTTGGCACTTATTGTGATTCTGTCATATATATACACATATTTATATTAATTGTAACTATTTAATAAAAAAGTAACTAAATTATTTTTTCTATGTTCATCTTAGTAGGAATTTGACTTAATTTTTATATTACCTGTTTTTTAACTGTAAATTAAATATTTGAAAATTGTGAATACGTTTAAAAATATCTTTCCAATTCATGAAAAAATAAAAGTCAGATGTAAGCTTTTTATACCAAATTTTCATAAAAACTGTGTTTACTTCAAAATTGTACATGAATTTTATTCATAATTTAAAGCTTTTAAATTTCACGAAAATACTTGTAATATAATTGTGTAATATTTAGTTTTTTTAAGAAGAATATACTAAAAATTTAATTAGTTTTTGAGTTTAATGATCGTTGTTGCATAACTACACAAGAGACATAGCGTTTGAACCAGTTGTTTGAATCAGTGAGAAAAGATGAGAACGCAGTTAGCTAGGACTTGTCTTTCCAAATTTACATGACTATTCATGAGATAAATGTGAGAAATAGTCAATTAGTTTCTAGGATCCTTATATATTTCCCAAAAATTATAACTCTAGATTTGATCTTATAGTAGTCAGCCTAGAATATCGATTTCTATGACAAAATGCATTGTCCTCAAAATTTTATAGAATACCCTATAAATTGTGGCAACTATTTTTAGTTTATTTTTTAAACTGTATTATAAGTTGATAAAGTATATCTGATACTTATCACATAACTTATTTTTCTACATCAAAATTTAAATTTTCTTTTTAAACATAGTTCACTAACATTTTGAAATTTTGGTAAGAAAGGATTTTACCATGGCATAAACTGAAAAAATGGTTTTCCTCTCTCAATTTCATAATCTATATTTTTAACCTTATACTGCAAATACTTTTTTTTTAAATATACTTCCTATACCTTATGGTTTTTGTCCCCAAATAACAGTAATTGATGTAGACATCCTGTCTGGAACTTCTCTCCTGTCTCTTTCTTGTATTTTATGATAAGTAAATTTATCCATTCCATCATATAACTGAATTTTCTTTTAGGAATTTTAAAAAAAAAATAATTCAGGTATATTTTGCCAATAATGTATTCTCATTGATTTCTACAGAATTTATTATTCTAGTTCTGTATAAAAAATAATAATAATTTTAAAGTGATATATATATATATATATATATATATATATAATAAGACTAAGTTACAAAAACCTGTGAACACAACACCATTCTATTTATATCGCTAAAACATAAGTCTTTCTTAAGAAAAAAAGTGTCTAATGTATATATATATGTAAATATGTATGTAAAACTTTAAATCTGTAAATGTTTTGTTATAAAACTATCTACGCTGTAAAAATATTATGTAAATTAATATTTTATATATTAATAGAAAAGCTTCCAAACTACTGCATTTGTATTAAACATTCACCACGTTCATAAATAATTCATAAGTAACCACAGAAAAAGTTCAGTTTCATTTGAAGTAGAGATTGTTTTAATAGGAATTTCGAATTTCATGAAGAAGAAAAAGTTTTGCCCTTAGGAACAATTTCTCTTATTCTTCGCTTCCTATACAAACACAGGGCAAGGAAGGAAAAAAAAAAGAACGAAAATAATTTGAATATATGCGCTGCTTTGTGTAGTAAATTATGCAAATCCTCTAAGAGTCTTGTTTGAACAAACTCCTGTTGATTTATTGACGAAGATTGCACTTCTGCCCTTAATGAAGCCCGGGAGTAAGAATGTTTAGTTCATATAAATACCCCTGTAATGATGATGGTCCAGAAGGATATGAAATAAATCGTGGCACATAACACTTTTCTAAGGAATCGGAAATTTGAAAATAAAACGAATAATCTACTAACTTAGTCAGAATAATGGAGATGTTTTTATATATACTGATTCAATAGTTAAATAGGAATGACATTATTGTTAGTCTAATATACTTGTATATGGATGGTGTTGGTTAACAAGCAAGTCAAAATTAATCCCTATATATATATATATTTTTAAAAACTAAATTCGAGTTTTAACTAAATTGTTGCTTTGTTCATTTTAAGATAAAAACTTTTCTTTGTATTTTAGTTGAAATAAGTATACACGTTATGAATTTTTTATTATTTATTTAAACCAGTATTACTAAATAAGTTTTACTAGTTTGACATTATTGCATAAGTATTGCTATTCTGATGACATAATTTTATTAACTTATATTGTAATGCATAAATAAAAATTATTAATCTAAGTTTAATGGAAGGTACATGTTTTAACTATTGATGTATATTATACATTTCAGTTTTTAACTCTACTCTGCTTTTCAATATTGTTATCCATATATTAAATGCAGAATTTTAAGCACACGTGAAAGACTATGCAAACTTATTACATTTCTTCGAAATTAATTAATACAAAGTATGGTATAAACAAACATAAAAGTTTTATTGTAGAGTTTAGTGAAGACTAAAAAAATCCATTCATCTAATTAGTGAATAAAAATTGTTTATTCTCTGATATACTAATGCATGTTTAATACAGAAGAATGAATGGGAAGTGACAACACTATTAGTTATATTTTTCTGTACGCATAGTTTATTATAAATGATAAATAATGTAGTAAATAATCATTATTTATATAAATTGTAATGCAGGCATTTAAATTAGTTTATACGTTTGATTTTCTCAACTTATAAACACCTAATCTTTAAATTTTAAATTAAAATTATTTTCAAAAAATATATCATATATTTAAAGTTTTTCTGAATATAAATATTCATAAACTTACAGAATTCTATAAAATAAGGATAAATTAATGTATTTATTTTTATTTACTTTTAACTGTGAATCATATATGAGTTAAATATATCTTTCAGAAGAAATATTATACAAATATGCATCAATCTTCTTATTGTGATAATCAGTTACGACTGAATCATAAGTTTTTGTCTTCTGAATCCAGTGTAAAAACACATAAAAATTAGTTATCCATAAAATTTGATATTTTATTTATTTTGTTATTTATCATTTTACTTATACTTCAGAGGATGTTTTGTTGTTCTACAGGTAAGCATATGATATTTTTTTTTCTCATTCAATTTTTCAGATCAATACAATATTGAAAACGCAAAATATTCATATTCTCAAATTTTTCTTTTACGGTGTCACATGGGTGTTAATCTTGGATTTTTTCGAAATTTCGAAAAACATATATGTTGTTCCTCACTTTCTTTTGAACATTTTGATACCAACCACGTGATAGTACTACAAAAACTTCGAAAGTTATTCGAAAAATTCCAAACAGCAATGTAGTAATAACAATGTTTAAATGGCCACACCCACTTATTCTTGATTTTCGCATACGTTTTATTTTTCTGTTTTTAAAAAGCCTCATGAAATATTTTAAACACTTGGTTAAATGAGAAGGAAGCTTGCAACTCAACACACACTTTTTTAATGTGTTTTGATTCTGTTTTGGTAATGCTAGCACGTTGTTTGAAATAACTTATCGAAATTCAAAACAGCGTTGTTTAAAACCGTTTATCTAAATTGAAAACAAAATTCTCTGGATTGAAATGGAAAATACTCATCGTAGACCTTCAGGTTAACGTCCTAAGAAAAGTAGAGAGAGATTTAGAGGGAACCAATTCATGAAGGTATGTTCTCATACATATGTTGCAGAAATGAAAGATACAAGTAAGTGTCCTTCCAGTAATAAATCTCAGGAATTCAGACTTCATTAAAGTCAAATCTTTTTAAGGTAAGTGAAAACTTCAAAGGATATCGTATTCTTGATTTTACTTCAACTTTTAGCTCTATTTTATCAGTATCATGTTGTTTAAAATGTCATAAACCATTAACAATTAATGAAAAGTCCACTCGTGGTTTATGTTTGAATTTTGAAATACGTTGTAAAAACTGTGGGAGTGTTTGTACTTTTTCAAGCTGTGAAAACACTGGGAATAGAAATAATGCTCCAGAAATTAACAGAAGATCTATTTTAGCAATGAGATGCATAAACCAAGGTTTAGAGTCATTAAAAACCTTTTGTGCTGCAATGAGTCTTCCTAATCCTGTTGAAGAAAAATCATATGATGTTATTAATAATAAACTTTCACATGTTATGAAGGAAGTCGCTGAAGAAAGCATGAAAAGGGCAGCTGTCGAAGAAAATTCTTCGTCACCTGATAACCTTTTAACGGTAAGTGGTGATGGTACCTGGAAGACAAGAGGACATTCATCGTTTATTGGAGTATGTACTGAAATAGGGGCCGAAACAGGTAAGGGTTTGGATAAGGAAGTGTTGTCCTCATTTTGCAAAGGAACGAACAGTTATAAAGGGGTAAAGTTTGGTATCAAGTACAATAAATGGTAAAGAGCGCATAAGATTTCATGTAGAAAAAATTATTCTGGCTCTGCTGGTAAGATGGAGGTTGACGGGATGTTGATGATTTTTAATCGATCAGAAAAGCTTCACAACCTGAAATATTCGAACTACATAGGAGATGGCGACACAAAAACATTCAATGCCCTTTCTGAAAACAAGCCATACGGCGATGATCCTCTTATTCAGAAAATAGAATGGGTAGGTCATGTGCAAAAGAGAATGGATACAAGACTTAGGAAGCTTAAATTAGTATATAGTAAAAAGAAATTATCTGATGGTAAAACTATTGGCGGTAAAGGTAGGTTAACTGATAGTTTAATTGATAAACTTGCGCATTACTATGGTAATGCTATTCGATGCAATTCTACTAGTGTAAAGGAAATGTGGAAAGCCATTTGGGCTGTTTGGGGTCATTCTTGCAGCACTGATGATGAACCGATGCAGTGGTTTTGTGCTACA